ATCAGCAGGGCATGCCCTGGGATTGAACCTGGCCATTTGTGTCTGCCTAAACAGATGCTTCAATCCGCTAAGCTTGGCCCAGCCCCTGATCTATGTGTCTTATCCTTGTGCTGTACTGTGCTATTTTAATCTCTGTAGCTTTGCAATTTAGATTGAAATAATGGGATTGTAGTGCCTTCTGCCTTGTTTTCTGTTGCCTGGGATTGCTTTTATTTTTCTAGGTCTCTTCTAGTTTCATACACATTTTTCTCTAGTTCTGTGAGGAATGCTATTGGCATTTTCTTTTAAATGTATTTAGTACAGGTTCTACAGGGTCTCACTACATAGATCAGACTCTTAATGATCCTCCTGTTTTCAGCCTCCCAAGTGCTGGGATTACAAGTGCGTGCCACCATGCCCAATCTCAATCGCCGTCTCAGTGTGCCCTGGGGATGGGGCTGGCACAGCACCTCCAGGACGGAACCTAGGTCCCTGCATCTACCTAAGCAGGTTCTTCAATCTACTGAACTATTTGGCCAGCCCTCACTTTTGGCATTTTGATTGGGATTGTATAAATCTGTATTGTCAAAATTTGACAGCGGGGCTGGGGAGATGGCTCAGTAGAATAAGCACTTCCCAGGCAAGTGCAAGGGCCTGAGTTCAATCCCCAGTTCCCACCAATAAATAAATAAATAAATAAATAAATAAATAAATAAATAAATTCTGTTTTCTGATGTCATTCTCCATCTCTTTTTCACTACTGTACTTTTCACTATCTTTCACTTTTTCAGTGAGGTTAATTCCTAAATATTTAATATTTTGATGTTATTGTGAGTGCTATAGAGGGTAACAGTTGGATTAGTGACTCTTCTGGCTTCCTCAAGGTGTTGATCAGTCCTGGAGGCTAATGTTTAGGGCGGTCAGCATTTATTCAATCTTTCGTCTCTAGGTCTGGCCCACAGCAAGAGCATCCCCTTCTCTCACAGTTGCAATGTATCTTGTCTTCTGTGCTGTCTCCTTAAAGGCCTAGCCTTGCCTATAATCTTCCTTCCTTCCTTCCTTCCTTCCTTCCTTCCTTCCTTCCTTCCTTCCTTCCTTCCTTTCTTTGGAAGGGTCTACAGAATGTTCAGGGTCTCACTACTAGATCCTACTTGTAGTGATCCACCTGTTTACAGCCTCCCAAAAGCTGGGATCACAGGGGCGGGGCCAGCAGGGCATGTTTGATCTTTTTGTTGTTTTTTGTTCTCTGTTTGTCAGTATCTTGTACTGGCATCGGTTTTTGTTGTTGTTGTTGTTTGTTTGTTTTTGTTTTTTTTTTCTCAGAACCAAGGATTTGAACTCAGGTCCTTGTGCTTGCCAGGCAAGTGCTTTTTCTGCTGAGCTGTCTCTCCGGTCCCCATACTGGTATTGTTTGATTCTAGGAGCTGTTTAATTTCTTCCTTAGTATCGTCTATGATCTATTTATTTTCACCATTTTGTTATTCAGTGTCCAAGATTTTATAAAATATCTCTATTTTGCATTGATTTCTAGTTTCAGTGCAATGTGATTTGATAGTATTGTATGCATGAGACGTATCATTTGTATTTATTTCAGTAAGCTTTATGGGCTAGTATGTGATCTATTTTGGAGAAAGTTCCATGTGTTGATGAGAAGATTGTATTCTGTTGTGGTAGAACACAATGTATTAAATCTGCTTTTTTGATGGTATGGTTCAGTACTAGTGTTTATTGATTTTTTTTTTTTTTTTGGTCTGGTTGATCTGTTTGTGAAGGTGGTATTTTGAGGTTTCCACTATGCTTGTATTGGTGTTTATTTGATCTTTCATGTCCAGTAGTGTTTGTTTTATGCAGTTGGGCGCACTAGTATTCAGTGCTTATGTAGTTATAATTGTTACTTTTTCCTTTTTTTTTTTTTTCCACAAATAGGACTTTATCACTATTAAAAATCTGGATCATAAATGGACTCTTGCACTGGTGGTTCATGTCCATCAGCTTGTTCAACTTTAGCTCCAGTCTCAATCCCCAGTAGCCCTTTCAGAGCTGCTACCTTCACCATGAAGCTCCATGAGTTTTCCCAATTCAAACTTGGCCTTCTTCAGCATTTTTACTTTTCTGACAAAGACATCATGAAGAGGGTAGATAGATTGGCAAGCCTTTTCTATGTCTTTACCAATACTGTCTGGAATCAGTTTATTGACCACTTCCTTCAAGTCATTTGTCTGCACCTCTCGGGTCATGATTTCCATCATCTTCTTCCGGATCTGGAGGACTTGCTGGTGCTGAGTGTGAGAGGTCTTCCGTATCTGATTGTTGTGTTTTTTAGTAAAGCCAACACAGAACAGTTGAAGCAAATAACCATCAGTAGTCTTGGCATCAACATGAGCTTCGATCATGGTCTGCCGTTTTTTGACCATAGAACACATTTTGTCATGTGTGAGGTTCATGCCACGGAAATTAGTCAGGCAGTTTTTGCCCTGAACATCTTCAGTAAATAGACTGAATTTTCTAAAGGCCACTTCATCATTCTGCAGATCAGCAAGGCTCACTTCAAGCACATGTAATCCTAACGTGTTGGTTTACCTTTGAGCCCATCAGATGCAATTTTGATTACTTGGGTTCTGGTGACGAGTGTTTTTCCAATATTTCTTATGTTGAACATAGCTGGCGCCTTCACTTTTTTTAGAAAATGGATCAACCACTTTCTTCTTGGCTCCTTTTTTTTTTTTTTGCAGAACCAGCGATTGAACTCAGACCTTTGCACTTGCCGGGGAAGCACTTATTCTACTGAGCCATCTCCCTGGCTCCTCTTGGCTCCTTTTTTGTGCCCTTTCATAAGGCGCTTGTTCTTGCCTACTGCCATGGTGTTGCTCAGAGAGCCAAAAGGGCTACTTTTTCCTTTTGACTTGTTGCTTAAACTAATACATAGTGACCATCTTTGTCTCTTCTCATCAGTTTTAGATGGAAGTCCATTTTGAGAAAAATTGTAATCATACTTGCTTTTGGAGTCCTGATGCATAGAATATTGTTCTCCATCCTTTGATTTTTAGTGTTTGGATTTCTCTTTGGAGTAGATAGGTCTCTCTGATGTAGCAAACTTGTATTTTACATTTTGATCTAGTCTGCCAAGCTGTTTAGGGAGTTGAGACCATTTACATTGAGAGTTCTTATTGAAAAATACTGCCTTATTTTTGTCATTCAGTTATTTTTCTGTTGATTCTTTTATTCTTTTTGGTTAACTGCTCATCCTGCTTGTTGTAGTCATCCATCAGACTTTGAGGTACTTTTGGCTTTGTTATCGCTGAGATAATCTTGAGTTTTTAGAGTGCTGGTTCAGTGTTCATAGATTTCTTAAGGTGTCATATTTTGTGGAATGACCTTTTTTTTCCCTATTAGTTTTGAAAGATAGTTTTGTAGTCTTGGTTGCAAGTTGTTTTCTCTCAAGGCTTGTGACAGGCTCTCCTGGCCTTTAAATTTTATATTGAAAAATCTGTTATGATCCTAACATGTTGGTTTACCTTTCCAAGTTTTTGCTTTTCTCTTGACAGCTTTTAAGATACTTTCCTTGTGTTACTTTTGGGTGGTGACTATGGTGTATTGTAAGGGAGTTTTCTTCTCTTTATAATTATTTGGATTCTGTATGCGTCTGAGTTACTCTTCTCTCATTGCTGGGACAAATACCTGACATCCAAAATGAAGGACAGAAAGGTTTATTCAGCTCACAGTCAGTGGAGGTTTTAGTCCATACTCAGCTGACGCCAAGGCAGGATGGCACATGGCAGAGGGCAGCAGTTCATGGTGGCAAAAAGCAAAAAAGCAAAAGGAGGGGCAGGCAACTAGCTAGCCTCTCTCTCCACTTCTTGCACTGTAAAGGCAAATTACCTGCTCCAGGGCAGGTTCCACATCCACACCCTTAATAATCAGTCACAGACTCCAGAAGCTGCTTCATGACTGCCTGAGGGGGGACAACTAAACACAAATCATAACAGTATGCATACATTTATGTTGCGTTCTTTTCTAAATTTGCAGTTTTCATGGCTCAGTGGAATAAGTGCTTCCATGGCAAGCACAAGAGTCTGAGTTCAAACCCCGGTTCTGCCAAAAAAAAAAAAATAAATAAATAAATTTGCAGTTTTTTAAATCTCTTCTTTAAATGCATTGATTAGTCTGTTTATTAATTTTCTATTGTTATCTTTGAACTTTCCAGGTTTCTTCTTGTTTATTGTACAGTTCAGGCATTTTGTGCTTGATTTTCTCTCCATCAGTGCCTTCGTATCTGCTTTTGAGAGTTGGAAGTTTTTGGAAGCATTTTGTTATGTTTTTTTAAACTTTTTTTTCTCTTCTGAGGTTAAGATCACATAGATTAAAAAGGTTTTATTGTTGGTATGAGATCTCTTTAGATTCTGTTTTTCAGTGATACGATCTTGGCTTTATTTTTATTTATATTTTTGGCTTTTATTTTTAAAAAGGTGCTATCTAAACACTTTTGAGTAGATCTAGTCACAGCTTACCTCCAGTACTTGACTTGGAGGATCTTAGCCTTGTTATTACATACTAAGCAGCCATGATTTGCTGCCTTGTTTTCTGAGACAGAGTCTTACTATATAGACAAGATTGGCCTTGAACTCAAGATCCTCTTGCCTCAGCCTCCCCTGGTGCTGGGATTTATAGGCACGTGCCACCATGGCTAGCTAGTTTGTGATTTTTGTATGGACAGATTTGTCAGTTTAGCTTAGGTTGACTTGCTGAAAATAGTTTATAAGAAAGGGAAAATTAGAAAATTGTTATTTGTTGTGTAAATAATGCTGTATGTCTTAGAATCTTGTGAACTGGCAGTATTATTCTTTTCCTCATTTAATGTTAAAGGCTTTTTTCATATCTTTTGAACCTTATGTAAAATAAAATTCCATGCAAATGATTTTAAATAGTGTATCTGCCTTTTATTTCTTTGCATTTGTGGGTATTGAACCCAGGGCTTTGGTGGATGGCTCTGTCACAGTATCACCCTCCAAACTTCCCTCTGCTTTCCTGCTTCTTTTGTTGGTCATACTAAGGATTGAACCCAGGGTTTTACACATGCTTGACTAATGTTCTGCCACTGAGCTATACTACCCGCCCCCCCTTTGTTTTTTTCTTTTTTTTTTTTCAGCCTGTCATTGTATCACTTGTTTTTTGGAGACATATAATCATGTTCTATGCTATACTGTTTGTTTTTTGTTTTGTTTTGTTTTACTGTTGCTTTTCCTTTTTGGAGAATGGTGGTGATACTGGGGATTGAACTCAGGATCTTGCACTTGCCAGGCAAGCACTTATTCTACTAAGCTATCTCCCCAGCCCCTTCATTGATATATTTTAAATTCAGAAATACTGTATTATTTGGAAAATATCTCTTTCAATTACAGTTAAATATATCTATATCTTACCATAACTAATACTTGTTTTTCTTGATAATGGAGAATAACTTTTCACTATTTTATGTTATCTACTCATTTATAAGTAGTCTGTGTATATTTGTTTTGGGGAATAAATTTTATTTTTCAGTTACACATAAAAGAATGTAAGTTTTTCTTTTGGTACCAGGAGTCAAACTCAGGATCTTGTGCTTGCCAGGCAGACGCTTGTGCTGCTGAGCTATATATATTCCCAGCCCTGAGAATATAACTTTAAACTACTGTTTTTCCCAAGGTACTAGAAAGCAGACCCAGGCCTTGTGAATTTTAGGCAAGCTTCAAGATTAATGTCTAATTATGATGACATTTGCTTCAAACATAGTGTATATGTTGATGTAGGAAATCATGAACCATTCAAAAACGTTTATTATGTGACAGTTTTAAGTAATTTACAATGTATATATAAATAAAAGCCTAGGGAACATTGTGTACATTAAAGCATTAAACATCTCTTTTTGGAGAGTGTGCATGGTTTTAAATTTTCTTTCAGAGCAGCAAAAATAAATTTTATTTTTGTCCTTTTTTATTTTTTAAATGAATGTGTGTTAATTTCATACTTTAAAAATAATTTAAGAAATTCTAGTAGTTAATATTGGGATTTGAAAAGATTTTGTTGCCCAGTTGCTTAGAAAATATTTTCCACTCTAACATTGTGTGTGTTTTAAGATCTATGTATCTTAGGTATGATTTAGAAGGGAATAGACAAATTATTAGAACAGGAAAATAGGATAAATTCTGTTCTGAAAACTGTTTTTCTTTTTCTTTCCATGTACTACTAGAGACACAGTCCAGTAAGTAAAAGATTTTATATTTTATATATTTTGCCTATCTTTAAAAAGTAGTTGTAAGGGGCTGGAGAGATGGCTTAGTGGTCTAAAGCACCTACTTGGAACAAGCTTGGGAAAGCACAGGGACCACGGTTCAATCCCCCAGCACCACATGCCAGCCAGCCCTGCCCCATGGTGGGCTGAGCTGAACACACACACACACACACACACACGCAATAAATGTTTAAAAAAATTTAAAAAAAAAGAGAATGCACTGTAAATAAAGTATAAATTTTATTTAAAAAAAGTAGTTGTAAAAAAAAAAAGTAGTTGTAAAAAAAAAGTAGTTGTAATGTTTGAGTAGTGATTTTTTTTTTTTTTTTTTGCGGAACCAGGGAATGAACTCAGGCCCTTGTGCTTGCCAGGCAAGTGCTTATTCTACTGAGCCATCTCCCCGGTCCCCTGAATAGTGATTTTCAAAATATTCAAAATCTAATAATCTAGGTTATTATATTAGGTTATTACAGTATCTTGATGTAGGTACTGTTTTAATATTGTAGCAATGTAGGACCAGCCAGATAGCTCAGGGCATTAAAGTGCTTGCTTAGGCAGATGCAGGGACCAGGATTTGATCCTGGACTTGATATGCCTGTCCTGCCCCTGGAGCTCACTGGCACAGGAATTGAGACTGGGCAATGGTGGCGCATACCTGTAATCCCAGTGCTCAGGAGGCTGAAAATAGGAGAATTACTATGAGTCTGATCTGTGTAGTGAGACCCTGTGGTAAATACAAAAAAAAAAAAAAAATCAGCAGTGTTTCATTGGATTTTAGATGTACATGTATTATTTTTAAATACAAAACAAAAGCTACCAAAACTTTTCCTATATATTTTATGTAACTTAAAATTGAGCAGATATATTAGACAACTTAAGAACTAGTATTTACATTTTGCCAAGTATTTTATAACCAAATTATTTGTTTAATGGAGTTTTTGCATTTCTATTTCAGGTACAGATGAATCGAAATTCCTCCAGTAAGTCAGACATTTGAATTAATTATTTTGTCTGTTAAAAGTATCAGGCAATTTGTTAGCTTTAGGAGTTGTAGAAATAAATGAGTGTTTTCATGACTACCGTCAATTAGAAGGATACTTTCTTTAAGCATAAAATAACTATATTACTTTGTAGAGTACTAGTAGGTATGCCTAAATTTAATAAACAGCTCTAAAAGTATTCAGAAATTAACAAAGCTAAATGATAAGATAGTATTTGATAAATTTCTAACTAAGAATGTTAAAATATTTATTTGGCATACTTTGTTGCAGGAATCAGAAAGCATTTATAAGATGAGTGATCTTTAGCTTTACCCATTTTTTAGTTATATCACAATTACAATTTCTAATGTATGATTTGGAAAACAGCTTAATAATATAGAAATTTTAGAATGTTAACACTTTTTGTGTAATTATGCATTAGAAATAATAAGGGTTATTGGAAAAATACAGCTAGCTCAAAAGCATTGTAAATTTGTAAACAGAATACCTGAGAAAACATATATCAGTTTTAATTGAAATTAAAACACAATTTAAAAGACTTATTAAATTTGTAGTAAATATCAAATATAGGGTGTTTCCATTAAAAAGAGGTGTGAGGGGTAGCTTTATGCTGGTATTTTAGGGAACATGAGAATGAATGGAGACTCCTGCATTATTAAGATGAGAGAAAGTACAGAAAAATGGAGAATGGTGCAATAAGTGCTCTGAGGCAGCACAGGCAGCCAAAATGGAAAAATATGGTGTGAATAGGTATTTATTTTTCGTTGAGGTATAATGTTAGGTGCAGGGTGAGTTCCTTATGCACCAGCATGACCTTTGTGTTACTGATGCTATTCCTGTGTCTCATTTGCTTATGAAATGAGTGACAGCACAACTGGAAACTTTAGTAATCACAGACTACTGTTCCAGGTTACTATAAAAAACTAATTTTCCAAAATAGGGCTTCCTTCAAGAGTTAATCATGTCTTTTGGCCAATAAGCTTTTGTAAATAAGGAGAGATTTAAACATTTTCTTCTATTTCTGAAAGTTACAGCCTTTATTTTTATCTTTTAAACAATAATTTTATTTTAATAAATATTGTAATTTAATTGATGAGTAATTTCTTACCAAAGCTGTTGGAAGAAATAAAGATTCAGTAGTAATTCAGCTATGTACTTTCTCTTTGTTTATATTAGTATTATTACTTCCAAAATTTTTTAATTGTTTACAGCTTTGGGATATGTAATTTTCTTGTTTTGCTAAAATACTGTATTTCTCAGATTATGAATTTTCTGATAATTTTTAATTTTTTAATTAGATGAGGAGTTAACAAAATCGAAGCCATGTGCTCCACCCAATGAGTAAGTTCCATTTTTAAAAATAGACTGTATTTAGACTGATTTTAGGTTTCAGAGCAGAATTGAATGGAACATCGAGGTATCTCATATTTTTCTAGCCTTCTAGTCAAAATCCCTCACCAAGCTGGTACATTTGTTTTTTTTTTTTGTTCCTCGAATGCCTTCAGAGCACTTTTGGCCAGCTGGAGAGGTGTGAGGTTCGAACTCCAGCAACCTGAGGCTGACAGCTTTGTGGAAGCAGCCACTTAAAGGCCTGAGCTACGGCCAGGCCCCCCAAGCTGGTACATTTGAACCATCTGCACTTTGATGCCTCATAATTATCTGTGCTGCATATTCTGAGTTTTGACAATGTGCAGTGATATGTATTCACTGTTGCAACATCATCGTGCAAATATTTTAATATACTCTGTTCTCTGCTTGTTTATCTCATTCTTGCTGTCACATTTGAAGTATCCTGCTTTTGTCCTTCCCAGAGCTTTGTAGAGGATTACCTTTCTGCAGTTTCAATGCTATTAAAATGTTAATCATCCTATTCTCTAAATTATGAGAAGTCATGTTGGAATTTTTATATATTTTATTTTTTACTTGATAATATTTTGACAGTGACTTTTTGTTTGGTATCTTTTTTTAATTTTTATTTTATTTTGTTTTATTTATTTATTTATTTTGGTGAAATCGGGCATTGAACTCAGGCCTTTGCACTTGCCAGGGAAGTGCTTATTCCACTGAGCCATCTCCCCGGCCCCTTGACAGTGACTTTAAAAAAAAACCTCATTTAACTACAGTTGGCCGTGGTGGCCTCAGTGCTTCCAGATAAATGATGATATAATCTAAGTTTATGTAAGTCTGTGTTTCAGCTAGCTGTTCTGAGGGACATTTTCTTTTTTCTTCCTTTAATTTTGCCTATAATTTTATAAAATAGACTATATTTCATGAACTCCAAAGTTAGGAAGTGCCTCAAGAAAAAAAGGCAGAGGGCCAATGGCATGTTGCCAACTTTTCTTACAATGAATAAAAAAAGTAAGCTAATGTTAGCGGAGTCCCTTTTTAATGTTTCGATTTGTAAAAATACTCTTAAGTTCATATTTCTTAACATGAGTAAAATGTGGACTTAATTGAGTAGTTTGCAGGATAACTTGTTTAGCATTTAAAATTTTTAGGAATGTTTATGCAGTTACAGTATTAGGCTTTATCATTCGTTGTGTAATGTGCACAGATCTGTGTTCAGATACTAGACAGGTTCTTTTAGATAACTAACATGTTCAGTATAGTGGGACTTTCTGTTTAAGATTTCTTAAGATATTTTAAAAATAATTGCAGTTTTAATATATTAAAATATTCAGACCGTCTTTCTGTAATTCAGAAGACTTAAAATATCCTTTGCCCTTTGTAAAGTCTTAATGGATTTCACATCACTTGAATTTTCTCACTGAGATTGGGTACTAGGTATGAATCTGCAGAGCTGAGACTATCTTAAAATCAATTTAGCTTTGTGTCTTTGGACTGTGCGTTTAGACTCTTTGTACTGTTCTCCTTCATTTGTAAAGCTAAAATCATTATTCTATTTTGACAGCACCTCAGTGTTGTTAGAATCTAACCAGATATGATCTAGGGAATAGTTTCCCCCTCTGCCTTGCCAGTATCATCTAGTGTTATTTTAGGTTCTGCTAAGTCTTAAAGTTACTTATATAAACCTTTGGCAGTGTACCCAGCCTTTTTAAGTTGTTAGAATTCTGTAAAACAAGAATAGGTGGCTAGATTTTTATACTAATAAAATGTTCTTCTGTTAAAATTCTTTTTCCAATGGCATAGTAGAAAAGGGAGCAGTGACTTACTTGCTTGGGACCCCCTGTGTGGACCAGCTATCGATCCGTCATCCTCAGCTTCCCTAGCTTCATCAACATCAGGTAAATGCATGTATATTTTTTAACTTGAGGGATATAGTAGTTGTTTTTTTGTTAATTGATGTATTTACCCCTTGTATATTTTATTTAATGATATAAAACTTTTTTAACCTGTCCTCTGATCATATTGGCAGATAAAAATAATTTTATACTGGCTTTGTAAAGTTGAAAACCCATTGGCTTAAATAAAAAAGTAATCAAATACCAAGACAGTTTAAAAATCGATGTATTTATATCTAGTTATTATTCCTTCTCATTACTCAAATAATAATTTTGTTTGTAGATCATGCAAATGCATAGCTAGGTATTAATGTAACTGATCCTTTTTTCTTTCTTTTTTTTTATTTTTTGTGCAGGGTCTCACTACGCAGCTCTGACTCGTAGTGATCCTCCTGTTTTCAGCCCCCTAGTGCTGGCATTACAGGTGTGCGCCATCATGCCCGGACTCCCTTGCTGGCTCAACATGCCCGGGTGCAGGGCTGGCACAGCATGCGGTACTAGGGATTGAACCCTGGCTCCTGAGCTTGCCTAAGCAAGCGCTTAGTCCGCTGATCTATCTGGCTGACCCATAGTTCTTTTTTTGATGGACATTCAAGTTCTGTTTTGTTTTCCATTAGTGAAAATAACAAATTTTGTGTACATCTCATAATACCCTGGTGATGATAATCATGATAAAATGTATGGGTTACAAGATACGTTCATTGATACTTTCTGCCAAACTGCTTTTTAGAAAGGATCTAACATTTCACAAGCAACATATGAAAGAATTGATGAATGCTTTTTAGTTACCATGTTGGCAAAAATAGATTGTTTTTCTTTTCCTTAAAATGTACAGTTCCTATAAGCCAAAACTCAAAACATGCATCAAAAATGTGTGTAATATAAAGCCTTATTGTTCAGAACAAGGAAATCAAATTACTTTAAATTGACTTTCTATTCTCTGAGATTTTGAATTGCCAGGTTAAGAGGATATTGGACTCTTATGGGTATGTCAGGCTTCTAGGAGCTACTCATTTAATTCATCACATTAATATCTTACATGAAGTCCTTTTTATTGTCTATTTAATAGATGAATAGAATATAATATAAAGCTCAGATATACTAAGGAACTTCTCAAGATTATGTAGCTAGGAAATCAAGAGAACAGTATTCAACTTGGACTTTACCAATTCTGAAATCATTGTTCTATATGTCACATTCCGGCAGATTAACAGCAACAAAAGACTACTAGGCTGAAACATTTTATAATTAATAATAAAATACTTATATCTTGAAATAGACCAATTAGAGGATATTTTAAAGGAACTATAAATGCATTATATGCCTTAATTCTAAACAGTATTTGGAGTTCTGAAGAGAGTGTAATCAGTACTTAGTATTTAAAAAACAGCTCGGGCCGGGGAGATGGCACAGTGGAATAAACGCTTCCCTGACAAATGCTAGGGCCTGAGTTCAGTCCCCAGTTCCGCCAAAAATAAAAAAAACCAGTCAGCTCATAGATAAACACATCCTGAAGTGCTACTATAGTCTTCCTCAGCAGGTGTCTGTTCCTACTTAGTGTTGTAAAACTGATTTAACAAGTGTATAAGGGAAGTAATTACAGAGGCCTCTTCTGTGTTTAGTAGAAATAGCAGAGTGATGTTTTGTATTTAGAATGAGGAGTTCCTAAGCAGTGTGTGTGTGTGTGTGTGTGTGTGTGTATGTGTGTGTGTGAGAGAGAGAGAGAGTTAACTGGGGATTGAATCCACATTTCACATATGCTAGGCAAGAGGTCTCTGCATAGCACTGAGCCACACCCCTCAACATACTTTTCAAGTTTTAAAAAAATTTTGAGACATTATTGCTAAATTTCCCTGGCTAGCCATGAACCTGTGTTTTCCTCTGTAGCCAAGATTACCTAGCTCTAAGCAGTATTTAAAAAATTTGTTAATGAGTTTTTATGAATTATTTGCTTATTTGTTTGTTTGTTTTTTCCTGGTGGAACTGGGATTGAACTCAGGCCCTTGTGCTTGCCAGGGAAGCGCTTATCCTACTGAGCCATCTCCCTGCCCCTATTATGAATTATTTCTTTAAAATCTTTAATGAAAATTTTCAAATTAGTATCACAGAGACTTTATATAGCAGTTCCTTCATAATTGTGCTAATTCTGCTCCTTGTTTTTTGCTTTTTTTATTATAATCTCTTTTTTAAAAATTCTTCTTCATTACCCATGTAAACAATATTTCATTCATACTACCTTCACTTGAAGTGAAGTTTTTCTCATTTGATATTTAGTAGCTAAGAAATGATAAATTTATTGTTTTGCTGATTATGCTTTTATATTTACTTATTTTTTGAGACAATGTCTCTGTATAATTCAGGATAGCCTTGAACTCGCAGCCATCCCCCTGTCTCAGCTTTCTAAATGCTCAGATTACAGTTGTGTGCTGCTGCTATGTCTGGCCCTTTATATTTGTATTTTAGAAATAGGGTCTTAATATATAGTTCAGGCTGTCCCTGAACTTGCCAAGTAACCCAGCATGGCCTTGAACTCAGTGATACTCCTGTCATAGCCTCCCAAGTTGATGGGATTACAAGTAAGTAGCACTGTTTCCTGCTATTGGTTGTATTTTTAAACCTTTCTATGTGATATGAAAAGTAGCAGTTAATTATTTTGTGCTTCAAAATGTGTTAATGATGCTCAAAAGAGATAATCAGGCTAAGGATGCTAAGTGGAACATTGCTTGTCTAGCATGAGCTAGGACTTCAGTTCAATCCTCAGTATCCTAATAAAAAGATACCATGAAAAGATTTAGGAAAAAAGATAATTATATTCTATAATAATAATTATTAAGCCTTCACTTGGATGGGATATAATTATTGGTCAAATTTACAGTATTGTGATTCTGCTATTTTACACACTGGCCCTAAGTAACGTTATAAAATACAAATTTTGTCTCAAATTTTGTTGTGCCACTTTTTGCAATACCTGTCTCCCCAATCTTAACACCCTCTCTGCTCAAGTAGCCATTTTCACATTTTAACGAAGCCCAGATTGTGAGATTATTTTCTACTTTCCTTTGTCTCTTTCACAATCTTAATTCCATCAGTTAATAAGATTGAAAAGGTTGCATACAGCTTGGTTGAAAAGTAGTGTCTGTTGCATCTTGTGCCCTGTAGACTATAAGTAAGCACATGTTTATTTCAAACATAACAATATAGTAGCTAAGAAATGACAAATTTATTAAGATTTGTTTATATTCTACATGTAATATAACTATTTCATACCTACCTTCCCTTTGATAAGTGTCCTGTAGACCATTTTCTTCTCTGTCCATGAATTAATTGAGCTCTTGTGCTCTGCTAAGACTCTTGATCTTTTAAAAATATCAAGCTCATTTTAAAAATTCCAGTGCTGATTCACTTGAAGGAACTTCCTATGACAGTTTTATTACTGGTCAGGATTTTTGTTGATCGTATGTACACAAACATTATTTTGTCATCTTGTCAAATCTTTACATGCCTAGTTTTCACAGTTACGGTGTGAAGAAACAAATAATTCTGACTTTATGTAAGTTTTGGACTTTCAATTTTATATAAATGTGGACTTCATTTTTTAATACACATTAAGTTTCTTATGTTCCTACTTATTTTCCCTAGTTAGTATAAAGTTTGAGGATGTAGCTCAGTGGTAGAGCACTTGCCTTGCCAATGCCCTAGGTTCCATCCCCAGCTGTTAAAAAAAAAAATTAAAAAATTCTTTGAGTTCATGCTGTTCCATGTATTATTTTTTTCTAGTTTTAGATAATTAAAATAACATTAAACTGCAACAAGGGAACAGGTATAGACTGGCTCTTATCACTTATGTTTTTATATTTTGTAAGGCATTTCCTGTTTCTTAAAACACAGACATTTGCAGCTGTGAGCTGTACCCCCAGGAAAAAAACAAAATATACTAGGACACTTAAGAATGTAATCATTCTGTACTGCAAAAATTATGGCTACAGACTCACTGTGTAGCCTGGGTTAGCCTTGAACTCATGGCAGTGCTCCTGTCTCAGCCTCCTGAGTGCTAGGGTTACAGGTGTGGGCCATCTGTGGTACACTTTCCCAGTGATTCCCCACTTCCTAAAAGAAAGAACCTTGTGCATTGTTGGTAGGAATATATATTAGTACTCTATGGAAATCAGTATGAAGATACTTTACAAAACTAAAACTAGAAATTACTCCTTTTCAAGGTATCTTTCCAAAAGAATTAGCATGCATATTCATGTGTATAGTAGCACAACTCAAAATACAGTAGTTAATTCTTAGAAGTAGTCTGCATGTCTATAAACAGATGAATGGATAAAGAAAATGTGTTCATCGAGCAGGTGAGATAGCTCAGTGATCTAAAGTGCCTGTTTAGGCAAGCGCAAGAGACCATGGTTTGATCCGCAGCACCACATTCCAAGCCAGCCCCACCTTAGGGCTGGCTGAGCTGGCAAAAAAAAGAAGAAGAAATAGACAATAGAGTACTAATCTGTCATTTGTAGGAAAATGGGTGTACCAGTACCTTGAGACCATAAGATTAACTGAGTTAAATCAGACACATAAACTTAAATATTGAATGATTTCTCTTGTGTGAGAAACCCAATACAAATAAATTAAAAAGCAGGGCTGGCCAGATAGCTCAATGGACTAAAGTGCCTGCTTAGGCAGAGTGCAGCTCCCGGAGTTCAATCCCCATCCTGCCATGTGGGCCCTTCCCCTGGGACACACTGAGATGGTGATTGAGATTGGGCATGGTGATTGAGACCAAGTGTGATGCTGTGCGTCTGTAATCCCAGTGATACAGGGAGAAAAACTGATCTCAGGTGGGTGACCTCCAAACCATATAGGGAACCTCCAAATGATCATAGGGAAAAAGGATCTCCCGGCCTGACCTGTACGAGTTTGTGTTCTCTAAAACCGAAGAATGAATTTTAGGAACAAACGGAGGTTATGAGCAGAATATATTTATTGAGGGAAAGAAAGCTCCTGTCCAAGAGAGGGACAGGAGGGGAGCCCGAGCCGGTAGTTTCCCTGGAAGCTCTCTCTTCCAGGGACTTTTATAGTGTAAAACCATGCGCTGCTAAGGTGGAGAAAGGGGGAACTCGCTTAGGTTGATGGGGGTGGGACAAAACTATGGTCAACCAGTGGGATTGCAAGCACTGTACTGAGGTAAAATTGATTTAAGTCTGGGACCAAATGGGGAAGCGAGTCACAGAGTAAGTAGGCATGACGGTATAGTACGGGACAGTGTTTCTTCCTGTTGGGGGTTGGAATAGGGACAGGGTCTCTTCCCATTGGGGGTTGGGCTAGTGACTCACTTGGGCCTTTCCAGGTGATCAATACCCATTTAGAATATGAATCCCAGGTGCTACTCTTTTAGCATTTGTTTGGCCTTTAGGTCTTTAGGTCTGGTTCACAGCAGGAGCATCCGTCCCTCCCACAGTTGCAAGGTAGCTTGTCTTTTGTGCTGTCTCCTTCAAGGGCCTGTCCCTGTCTGATTGCCTATAATATTTTTATCTAACTCGGCTGCCTGCAATACCAGCGCATGGGAGGCTGAAAACAGTAAGATTACTAGAGTCTGATCTACATAGTGAGACCCTGTAGACCCTGTATCCTCTGTACTAAATGCAAAATAAAATAAAATAAAATTAGCAAAATAAAAGATAGTTAATAAGAGATAGGAAATAGGCCTTTTCCAAAAGAGAAGGGGAGGGCTGGTGGGATGGCTCAGTGGTCTAAAGCACCTACTTAGAACAAGCTTAGCAAAGCACAAGGGACCGCGGTTCGATCCCCCAGCACCACATGCCAGCCAGCCCCGCCCCCTGGTGGGCTGAGCTGGCCACACACACACACACACACGTAAATAAAAAAACCAAACAAACAAAAAAAAGAGAAGGGGACCAAGAAAGAGATGGAGGGATGGGGACAGGAGAAATGGGAGTAGGGGATGGAAAGAAGAACTCTGTGTGTAGAATTCCTCACTGTGAATATCATCATGGGCTGCAAACATGGACTAATAAAAAGAAGAAAGATCCCCCACATCCCATTCATCTTTCCAGTCCCATGACTACTCTCATCTTGCAGTCACCCCATCACCATCTCTAGTCCTCCAGCTTGACTGCTTGTTTCCCTGTGTATATATTTAGGTCCATTAGATGTTTTTCATGTTGTGTATTTGTAAACTTACTAAATGGGTTTCTTCCCATTATAGTTTTTAGTTTCTGAATGATAGCCTATGTTTTAGAATAAATCAGTTTTGAAATAATTTTTATTTCTTTAAATATAATTTAAGTATTTTTACCTCCATTCTTCACTCCTACTAAAATTTTGTGACTTGATGCTGTACACTTAGGTTTCATTCAGTAATTTCTATGAGTTTTTAAAATTAGAAATGGTGATTTTTAAAATTTTAAATTTGTAAATGGCATTTAAAAACAGTGAATACTAAATTTGTATAGGATTTATGAAAAATTAAGATTGTTATGCACACAGCAAAATTGTAGCGATTTGGGGAAACTAATAGAATATTTTTGATGCTTTTAATTATTCCTGAAAATGTTACAGGGTGGTTCAACTCAGAAATAAAATTAACACGTTTAATGAAGGTATTTTATGTAGAATTCATGTTATAAAAATTTTATCTTAGTCCTTTCAAGTAGATGTACTGGTAGAAACTATAGATCTTTGGCCTAAAATTAGTTTATTGTTATGAAAAAGTTTATCAGACTTAACATTTTATATGTATAAATAATTGAAGCAAATGAAATGTCTATGTCTTTCAGTTTTGTTCAAAGGCTAATGATTTGTTTTTAGAAATATTACAGCTTTATGGAAAGCATGGCTAGATTCCCAATATTTTAACAAATACATATATATCTCCTAGAAAATGAGTAAGAATCTTAACAGTTCTGATACAATAGAATGTCTTAATTGTAAGGATTGTTATGCACTAATGATTTTCTTCAAATTCTCTTTTTCCTTCCCACCAGCCAGGCCCACAACTCCTCTTTCTGTAGGCACCATTGTCCCACCTCCAAGGCCTGCTTCCAGACCAAAGCTTACTTCTGGCAAACTCAGTGGGATTAATGAAATAGTATGTACTAAAGTGGTTTTAAAATATTATATAACTGTTTTGATTTAAGATATAAATGATACTTTTCCTTATATCCCTATACAGCTAAGTGCTTGGTTTTCTAGTTGAGTCCTCAGAATATAGAAAAATTTGTCCAACAGATGCATCCTTTGCTCTCCCTTATTACCTCAGCAGTCATACCTGTGAACCCACACATTGTCGAGGAGGAGAAAGATTTCTGAGGAAGTTGACACATAAAACACCGTTCAGCATCCATTGTCTCACAATGGGAAAGCAGTTTTCATATAATTCTACTTAAAGTCAGATATTAAGGAAGAAATGGTAGTGTTACTATGCCTTAGAAGTGTGCTGCCAGGAGGCTCCTGGTATGTGTCTCATTCGGCTTTATGTAGGAAGCTGGACTCCACATCAGTTAATTGACATGAAAGAACATATGTGGGTGGGATTACAGGGAACATTAGTTGTCACAGTGAAAAGATCAGTGGGCTCTGTTCAGAGTGAGGCCCTCGCATACCAGACCTTTTGCTTCTGATCTGTTCTGTTTTGCTTTATCTTCTACACTAATTGCTAGTGTAATTGCCAGAATTAAATTTCTAAATGTTAAACATTCTTATTTTTTCCTTGATTATGTATTCCCATTGTTACTGTAATCCAGGTGGGTGAATATTTTAGCTGAAAGTACAAGACTCTGTAAAGTTGCATCAGCAACCTGTTTCACCAGGCTAGCTGCCCAACTTTCTTTTTCTACCCAGCGTTCCTGCCACTGAAACTTTCCAGTATTCCCCAGATATATCATGCTCTTTTTTGAGGGAAGGGTGCTGGAGATTGAACCCAGGGCCTGTGCTATTAAGCTATATTATGCTCTTTTATACATGCATGTTTTTTAATGCTCCTTCTATTTGAAATACCTCTCAGTTTTCTCTGTAGCAAATTGGCCTGCTTAAGACCCAGATAAATATCACCACTTAAATAAAACTCTCTTTAATCGTTCCATCACTCCTCTAACAGATTTAATTATTCTTATTCCTGTATACTTATTTCTGCTAGTTCATGCAGCACATTATATTTTCATTATGTTACTCTTACTGACCTGCTATAGCCAATTTCATATCCTTAGTATTTTGAATAATGTCTGTCACGTAGTAGTTAGGAACATGTTCAGTGAAAAAAATGAAAAGGCCTGAGCACCTTTATGTTATAAATGGTGTTGTCATCTTTCTTTTTCTTCCCTGAGTGAAATGACTTCTTGGATGAGAAATGAAAAATAAGATACACACTGCCAAGATGGCCATAATTTAAATAACATAAGAATTATTGTGTGTGTATATATATAGATATAGATATATATATATTTTATTTATTTATTTATTTTAATACACAGTCTCACTGCATAGTTCAGACTCAGTGATCCTCCTTGTCTCAGCCTTTCCAGTGCTGGGATTACAGGTATGTGCCACCATGCCCTGGGGTGCAGGGCTGGCATGGTATGTGGTACCAGGGATCAAACCACACAGTCCCTGTGCTTGCCTGAGTATGTGCTTTAGTCCACTGAGCTATCTCACTGGCCCCCCAAAGATAACTTTTTTTAAGATACTTAAATATGTATAATTTTTCATTATATTCTTAATGTATAAGCATTTATCCAGAGATAGAGAATAAAGTTGGTAAAAATACAGATTTATTAGGCACATATTAGCCAAACAACATGAGACACATTATTTACTGAGTTCCCATTTCTTTATGGGAAAATGCATATCATAGTACTAGGTTGCTATGAAACATAAATGACTTAATATGTATCAAACATGACATTGTCAAGTGTAAGTATGGTTAGAAAAATGTGCATTTTTAAATAAAAAGTTATACTGTTCATATTTCTAGTTAATTTTTCACTAGAAAATATTTTGGAAATGGTTTTCTAAATCATGAATTATTGCTAGACATGGTGCATGCCTATAATTCCAGCACTTGGAAGGCTGAGGCAGGAAGATCGCGGTGAGTTCAAAGCCAGCCTGGACAACCTAGCAAGACCCTCAAAAAAAAATAAAAAAAAGCATCAATTATTATTTCATAGTTTTCAGGAGAATCCTTTGTCAGATAATTTTATACTTAAACATATTGAAATAAAGTCAAGCTAGACATGGTCAGAGAAGATTATAATCCCAAGTAGATCGTTGGGAGATTGAGGCCAGCCTGCACTACCTAGTGAGACACTATCTCACCATTCCTCAAAGGAATAAAGTCAGACTTTTGTAGTTGAATCATTTACATCAACCTGCTTTCCTAGCAGCTCTCTTCCCTGAGATTTTTCTGGAAACTAACTTGAGGGCTTCAGGGAGCACCATTTGAAGTAGAGTATTTCAGTATATAAATGCTTTGTTTTCCATACAATTATCAGAATTAAATTTCCAAAATTTCTAAAAGTTTCCCCCCCAAAAAAGTTTTTAGAAATTTAACTTTTAGTTTATTTCTAAGTTTGTGTTGTTATAATGTTTTAGTAAGTGTTTTTACATTCACTTCTTTGAAGATACTTATTCCTTAGTAAAAGATTTTTCAAATGAAATTCATGAACCAAATGGTATGTATATTTTAAAGATCCTTGATAATTTTTGTGTTGTTGTCTACTATTGAGTCATACTCTCCCTGTCCACTAAGGGAACCCCTCTTTGTTTTAGAACAACTACACTCAGAGGGGAGTCCCAGACCAGTAGAATTATCGTCTCCTGAGAACTTGGTAGAAAATAATCTCTCTGATTCCACCTGACAAATCAGAAATTCAGGAGAGGGGCCTAGCAGTTGTATGTTAAAGAACCTTTTAAGTGATTCTGATACACACTAATCTTTGAAAATCACTGTTTCAAAGCAGTGCTGCCTTGGGGCTGGGGAGATGGCTCAGTGGAATAAGCGCTTCCCTGGCAAGCGCAAGGGTCTGAGTTCAATCCCTGGTTCTGCCAAAAACAAAAACAAAAAAAACAACAACATCAAAGCAATGCTGCCCAATAGAAATATAATGCAAGCAACATACATAATTTTAAGTTGGAAACATTGTATTTACAATAATGAATGAGATTTTACATTCTTTTTATGTATATACTGTCTTTTTTTTTTTTTTTTGGTGGAACCGGGGATTGAACTCAGATTCTTGCGTTTGCTAGTCAAGTGCTTATCCTACTGAGCCATCTCCCCGGTCCCTATATACTTTCTTCTGAGTCCACTCTGTATTGTATAGCCTTACAAGCATATCTTAATGTTGTTCTGTTGGCAGTTTTGTTGGCAATTGTATTGAACAGCACAACTCATAAAACAGAGTAAAACCACTTAGGAAATAGTTACTTCTGGCTTTCTAGGAATTGTAAAATGCATAACAAAACTGCGTCCACATCATATTGTGCGTATTTGTCATATTGCAGTAGGAGAGAAATCCCTCAGAGTAATTGATCTCAAGATTCTTTTCCTGAGCTAAAGTTTCACATGAACTGTTGACTTCTCTATTCAGGCCTTTACCATTTTTGTCTGTATAAATGTGTAGCTACAGTTTTAGCACCTGGCTATATTTTTAATGTGTTGTCTGTAACGATGACATGAGACATTTCCTGTACTCCAGGAAAAAAAATGTATAAAAATAGTTAAATGTATAGCTGGGGGTGACAAATGGTGAAATACTTTATGTACTATCTGACTTTTGTAAAAGTATCTGTAAGTTGTTATTAATGTAATGAAGAATTGATGAATTTAGTATAGGAGTACTTAGAGGCTTTTACATGTTTCTTTTTTGTTTCTCATGTTAAAAAGGACAGTGTCTTTTCTTTTTTTCTTTATGTATTTAGTACAGGGTCTACTGGGTCTCACTAAACAGATTAGACTTGTAGTGATCCTCCTGTTTTCAGCCTCCTAAGCACTGGGATTACAGGCTCATGTCACCACACCCAGTCTCTGCAGTGTCTTTTCTGTTCACTCTTGTACTTAGTACCTAGTGTAAGGGCTGCCATATAGGAGGCACTAAATAATTATTTGTTGCTTTTATAAACAGGGCAATATTATTGTTAAGGTAAATATGCCTTTTTTGAAAAAGTGAAACATTATGGGGAATATTGCTAATGTATTATTGGAACAATCAAGAATTCAGAAGTAAAAGGTCTTGTCACACATATAAGAGTTAAGTGAACTGGAGATATTTTTGCTATTTTTAGTTTTAACTAGAAACATGAAAAGGCAACAGAATTAACATTTTCTTAAGCCTCTTTGTGGTTTAAGCTTTGTTAGCAAGGAAACCGTATAAGGAATTACAGAGGAAAATATGGACAGACTTGTGAACATCCAAAGTAACAGGCAAGTGGTATTTAGAGAAGAAAATACTAGTAACAGATAAGATAAAGGGTTAGTAAAAGATTTTACATCATGCCATTCATAAAAATGAAAATGGACATTTATATCTATAAAATTAATTAGAAAAATTTAAATTTTTTTTTCTTCTCTGACTCATTGCTGACCAAGTTGAGAGAAATAATTCCTATGTATGTCACAGTAAAGTAACTGTTTTGGGAAGCCTTTTGGTGGTATATGTGAAGAATCTTCATAATATTTAAACCGGGAGTTTAGCTTATAACAATCTATATTAAGTATACATTTTTTTTTGTATTTTAGGGAAGGGTCTACAGGGTGTTCAGGATCTCACTGCTAGATCAGACTCATAGTGATCCGCCTGTTTACAGCCTCCCAAGAGCTGGGATTACAGGCACGTGCCACCACGCCCAGGCTCAATTGCCATCTCAGCGCGCAGGGGGCAAAGGCAGCACAGCAGGCCCAGGGGATTGAACCCCTGGCCCCTGCACCTGCAAGCAGGTGCTTTAATCTGCTAAGGTATTTGGCTGGCCCAAGTATACTTTTTTTTCATTCTTTAATTTTATTTTGAAAAGTAAAAGCAAAAGCAAGAACAAAAATCAGAAACTAAGAAACAGTACAGCAATACATATGTTACAGAATTCAAACCAAGAATAGCTAGCTGATTAACAATGGTTTATATAAGTATACTTTTTGAACACAGAAAATATTTTATGTACAAAGACCCTCCTGACAACATTATTTTATGCCTTTTAGTGTATTTTTAAAAATGATTTGACATATGGATTATCTAAGTGTAAGTTACAAGAACCAGTAAATTTGGTTTGGTGTGTTAAAGTTAAACTTAGCTGATAGAAAAAATCACTGACAAGAATTTATTGTGGTGTTTGATTAATAACTTTGCTTTAAGCCCAGACCATTCAGCCCACCTGTGAGCTCCAGCACCAGCCCACCTCCAGTCGCCCCTTTAGCCCGGGCAGAAAGTTCCTCCTCTATCTCATCCTCTGCTTCCTTGAGTGCTGCCAATACTCCAACAGTAGGTAGGTGCTTATCATTAATTATAAAATGTAGCACAGGGTAATCAGGCTTATATACTTTTAGATGACCTAGTGAAGAATTTAACTTAGGAATTTTGTCTTTCTAGAAACACACCTGATATCATACTGGCCCTATGTCAGTTTCTATGTCAGTCTGTATTATTTTGGTAGAATTTTAACTGTGGTAAGCAATATTAAAAGTGAATCAGGGCCGGGGAGATGGCTCAGTAGTATAAGTACTTCCCTGACAAGTACAAGGGCCTGAATTCAATACCCTGTTCTGGAAAAAAAAAAAAAAAAAGTGAATCAGATTTACAGCTATTGTTAATATAAACAGTTGAAAGAAATATATAATGCAGTTCTTTTTGCTATGAACTGTTAGCTACATTCTTAAAGTTTGTGTTTACAACAATTGTTTTGAAAGGAATTGACTTAATGAAAGGAAGGGATTTATACTTGAATGAGTATACTTTTCCATCATTAAAATCAAAATTAAGACTTCTAAAGCTGTTAATGTATCAGTGCAAAAATCTTAAATCTCATCTGACAAATCCAGCATTTTATACATCTAGATTTTGTTCTTCTGTTCCTGGCTTTGCACAGTCTTTTCTACAGATTTTTGTTACTTTTCACATTGCTCATTAGTATAGTAAACAAAAAAGCTGAAAGCCACTTAAATGCAATAGCTGTATTTTAGGAACAGCAGTTAACTTCTCATCAAATAGCTTCTCAGGAAAGCCCTCTTGTTGCTGGTTCTAGGTAGTGGTGGCTTCAGCCTTGGTAATGCCAGTCCCTGATTTGCACTAGCAGCACTATTTTATTATCACTTGAAGTATGGTGCTTGGATCTGCAGCCGATGCATCAGCTCGAACCTTTTACTAGACTTTAAAATCAGATTTTCTGGGAGGAGGCTACCAATCTGGGGGCTAAAAAAGATTCTGATGAATGCCAACTTGAGATTGATACCCCTAAAGCTGATTTAATTGTACCAGTTTAATTTGTCAGAACCCCCATAGGAGATAAGCATCTTGTTTGCTTGGCCATTGTAAAAATAGCATGTAAGCAGCATACACTAAAACAAAACAATGTGTTCTTTTACATGCCTTCATATATAACATTTTCCCCATCTTTTATGTAAACTGAATATTTATGTTTGCACTTTTATTTGGTTTAATGGACTTTTTGTATGTATGGTGTTGTTAATTTTTATCCTCATAGTGTTTATATTTTGTTCATAAATGTGTGAGAGGGGCCTCCTTAAAAATCAGGCGAGATATCTGGGTAACCAAAATGAGCTTTAGTTCTTTTTCATTTTCTAGGTTATTCAGAAGGCTTTCTGTTTATGATAGAAACTTTTAAGTGCATTTTGATTGAATTGATACATATTTATGGTTTCAGTCAATATTGGCAATAGGTGACAGTTGTGAAGCAGGCAAGGCAGGTGGATGTGAATTTTGTACAATGGAGGTTCTTTAACTGTACCTAAAAAGTTCTCCTTTTTTTGTCATGACCTTAGGGCTGGGGGTGGAGCTCCGGGCCGAGAGTGCTTGCCTAGCATGCCAGGCCCTGGATTCAATCTCCAGAACTGCCAATTTTTTTTTTTTTTTTTTGGGGTCACAAGATTTATTTAGCTGTTTAAAATATATTTTTGTTTCTTGGAAATACTTTCTTCTCCTGCAATATTTTGTTTCATTTAAATATGATAGAAGATGATAATTTGATTGGGACACTCTCTCAAATCGAAAAGCACTGTGAGACGTCATCAGGTATTGTATCAAACAGAAACATATGTGTTGACTAATGATCCTAAAATGTATCTAAAATGTCATTTCCTAGTTTTTCTTTTTCTACAATATATTGTGTCTCAGAAATAGAGAATAATGCTAAGATTAACTGTCTCAATTTTGTGCTAATTATGTCCATTTGATGTACAAGACCTACTGACATCAGATTCCTAGTTATAAAAACATATATTTTTGCATTTTGTTCCATAAGAAGTATCAATATGTCTGAACACTAAAGCTTTCAAAATCAAAGAAAAATGTAACTAGTAAAGAATCACAAAGAATATAGGCTTCAAAAATTTTAATATCTAAACTATTGGAGGGAAAGCTGTCATAGGAAAATCATATGGATAGTGATCTGAAGTTAGAAAGCACAGAGGAGATGGTTGGTACTCTTGAGCTGAATGGAGTTCCACATAAATACCACAAGAAGATGTCATGTATACTTTATTTATGTCACATTATAAGCTGTCTGCCTTTTCAAAATACAGTTGTCTAAATATACAGCAGGTAAACCAGAATTGGAGCCAAATGTTTTCATTACGAGTACAAAACATTTTTCATTTAAAAAATTATTCAGAATAATTAGAATAGACCTAGGCTTTTTATTCTTCTGTTAATGGTACTGGGAATCAGACCCCATTTATTCTTCATGTATGCCAGGCAATCACTCTACAGCTCTGCACTTTATCCCACCCTTGTAGGTTTCTTTTCATTTCTACAGTCAAAGCAGACATTAATGTTAGCTCTTAACCATGTATAAGTACTCATGTGTATGAGTTACTCAAGGAAAAATACAGATTTTATATTTAAGAAAATATAGGGGGCCCTTACTATCTATAGCACATTTACTTTTTAGGGTCTCCTAAGCAATACCAAACTCCATAGATGCTCAACCTAAATGTAATGTAAAATGGGACAGCTTCCATGGAAAAAACAATATGACTGTTCTTGAAAAAAATTATAAATAAAATGGCCATATAGTTTAGGAATTTCTTTTCTGGGGATACACCCAAAAGAATTGAAAACAAGGGCTCAAAGAGAAAGTTTTACACCTGTGGGTCATAATAGCATTAGTCACATTGGCCAGTAAATAGAAGCAGCCTAGTGTTTGTTGATAGGTGAGTCATGTGTTAAGTCAGCTTTCCCACTGCTGAGACTAACTACCCAACTTTTATAATTTAAAGGGAGTAGGGGTTGTTTTGGCTTTTGGTGTCAGAGGACTCAGTCCATGGTTGGCTGGCTCCGTCACAGAAACAGCATGGCAGAAAGGTTCAGTGAAGCAAAGATACTCACTCATTTCTTGGCAACTGGAAGCAGAACACCAGGGAAGAGTGCCAGAGAGGAAAGGGCCAGGGACCAGATATAGACACCAAGGACGCACCTTCATGACCCACCCAGACACACCCAGAAGTGTACTTTACTAATCTCCTTGCAGCTCCCAAGCCAGTCAAGTTTGACAGATGTGTACTTAATGGATACAAATAGATAGCAGAGTCTGTTAAGTGTAAACACACAGACACATAAAATGGAATATTATTTAACTTCAGAAAAAGATATTTTGATATATGCTGCAACTTCAGTGAACCTTAAAGACATTGTGCTGTCAAACACTGACTCCACTTACATGAGATACTTAGAGTAGTTAAACTGCTAGACAGTAAAGTGGTGGTTCCCAGAGACTGAGAGAAAGGAATTATTGTTCAGTGGACATAAAGTTTGAGGTTTATAAGATGAATTATGATGGGTGGTGGTGCTAATTGGAGAGTGTTATGAATGTATTTTACACCACTGAACTGTACACTCAAAAATGGTTAAGATCTTAAATTTTATATTATGTATATTTTGCCATAGTAAAAAAAAACAAACAAACTAGCTCAGCATGGTGGCACATGCCTGTAATCACAATACTTGGGAAGCTAAGGCCAGAGGAGTACCACAAGTTCAAGGTCAGCCTAAACTACATGGTGAGACACTGTCTCTAAAACAAAAAAAACTTACAAGAAAGATTATTATAGCCTCCATCTTTGAGTGAAACAATGCTTTCTTGAATTTCTTATGACCACCCTCTAGGGTTGCAGTGAAATTTTCCTAGTATACAAATACATATTTGTGTAGTGTAATCAGTGAATTTGTAAGTATTCTACATTTTTTTCTTACTGTTTTCATACTTGTACCATATAACTAGTGCTTCCTGTTCAGGCCTTTATCTTCCAACTCATCGCTCTCACCTGACCAAAAAGTAAACTCCTGCAATCATTTTTAAAAACATGATAATGTTTCTTTTAAATATTGTCAGTGATTTTTAGTGGTAAAATGATAAAATTAAGTGTCTGACATTGTTTGGTCTGATCACAAACCACTTCTCCATCCTCATCTTTATGGTTTTTCATCATGGCCCATCCTTCAATCATAAACATGTTTTGCTTTGTAAAACTTGGTGATTTATGTCTCCCTAGTTGAATATCCCTAATCCAAAATACTCTGACCTGTGAAACTTCAGTCAAAGGATTTCAGATTACAGAGCATTTTGTACATTGAATTTTCAGATTCAGGATGTTTAGTTGGTAAAGTCTGTGCACATAACAAAAAAAAAAAAAAAAAAAAAAAAAAACACAACACATCTAAATCTAAAGCACTTCTGAATCCAAATATTTCAAATAAAGGATAGCTATGCTTAGGATTTTGCAAGTAAGATTTTTATATTATTGAACCTATTATTTTCATATGAAATTTTAAGTTGTCTCATTTTGGAAAGTTTTCTTTTCCTAATGACCTACAAACAGCAGTTCTTGTTTCCATGCATTTTTCATCAGTAAGCTATTTCCTTTTAAATAAAAGTTCCTTTGAAATCTGGAATGCCATGAAATCTTCTTTGTAGGATGTCACCTTGTAGTGATTTTTCATTAGTATACCAGGTGGACTAGTCTTTTATGTTACTATAACAAATACAGATAACTGGGTACTTTATAAAGAATTTATTTAGCTTACAGTTTTGGAGGCTGAAAGTCCAAACTCAGGTGACCTCACTGGATTGGCCAATGATGTGGGCCTCCTGGAACCTGGCATCAGAATGGCCAGGAGCATGTATCAGAGTGATTACTATATTGAAAAACTCTCCTATTGACTTACTTTTACGAAATTCCCCATATATTGTACTGTATATTAGATGAAATGCTCTGCGTAGGAAAATCAGTAGAGTTATGAAACGTCTAAGGGAAGAGTACACTAGTGAAGACAAAGGCAGTGCGCTTTTGTGAGAGATACTTGTCTAAGTTAACAAACACCGAAATAATGCATAGGTTACATTTGTTCCCACTTTATGACACATGTTTTTGTGTGATTCTAAAGGCACCTTATCTGAGTGTGAACTTAGTATCAGGGATGTAACCTTTAAGTTTTTGAAAAATCACAGCCACTCTTTCCCCTCTACATACATACTCCTTTTTGTTGTCTTTAGCTTTTATCTTATCACAGGGACATAATACCTGATACCTGCAACTTCAAGGAGGAGGGGTTTGTTGTGGTTCATGTTTTCAGTTGACAGTCAGCTGGCTGCAAGGCTGGCAGGGCTTGGCCAGAGAAACTGCTGAGGTCATGGTAGCCAGAAAGCAGAAATTTCTTCAGGTCTCACCATTAGGGACTGACTTCTATAGACCAGAGCCCACCTCCTAACAGCAAAGCAGCTATATTACCTCGTAATCTAATCACTTTCAACAAGCCTCACCTCTGAGCATACTGAGCCTTTGGGGTGATAGTCCAGATCCAAACCATAACATTATCTAAAAATAGTGATATAATTTTTAAAAATGGCATATAGAATTAACAAAATATTGAAGAAAGGTAATGTGCAAGTATAATACATACTGGGCATTTCTAATTTGGAAATTTGAAGTATGAAATATTTCAAAATTGGAACGTTTTTGAAGGTTGCATCATTCAGTGTTTCAGATTTTAGATTTTAAGATTAAGGCTACAGAGATAGCTCAGTGGTCTAAGCACCTACCTGGCAAATGCAAGGTCTTGGGTTCTATCCCCAGTACCACATGCCATGCTGGCCCTACCCTGGGCTTGCTGAGCTGGCCACCAAGATGGGTTGGTGGTGCACGCCTGTAATCCCAGCACTTGGGAGGCTGAGACTGGAGAATCACTATGAGTCTGAGCTGCATAGTGAGACCCTGTACCAAATACATTTTTTAAAAAAAGATTAAGGATGTTCTGCTGATAAATTCTATGTAAATATTCCAAAATCTGAAAAACTGCAAAATCAAAAATACAACTGATCCAGAGTATTTTAGATAAAGAATACTCAGGCTGTATAAGCATTAAAGATAAAATTTAAGAAAAAAATTGTAGTAGTAAGTATCATAGGAAATAAAACTATTGGGACAGAAATAACTTACATGCAAAAAATCCAATTTAAGGGCTGGTGAGATAGCTCAGTGGACTAAGTGCCTGCTTAGGCAAGCACAGGGGCCAGGGCTCGATCCCTGGCACCACATGCCATGCCAGCCCTGCCCCTGGATGCACTGAGCCAGCCACCAAG